GGGGGGGAGGAGACATAATAGATGCGTACTCAATGGATCAACTTTAAAATGTTCTGCATTCTTATGCCTGATATATGTGCAAATTCATGCCCATGTCAATATGCTGTGCTACATTTAACCTAATGAATTGCTTTTCTGGACTCTTTTTGCACTTCTTGCTCAACTGACAATATGTTTTTACATGCAGCGACTATCTTTTCAAGCTTTTGCTTATTGGAGATTCTGGTGTTGGCAAATCATGTCTCCTCTTGAGATTTGCTGTAAGTTTATTGTAGAATTTTACAACCATTGTTCTTCTCTTACATCTGAAGACTTTTCCGTTTGTGCCTCTGTATTCTTGCTGGTGCAACTTTTTTCCTCGGACATGAAAAGTACTTTTCCTTTGTATTTGCTTTCCTTTTCTCTTCCTTTTTGGCCCGGGGTGAGATGAGGGGTTGAGTGGATGCTACTTGCGCAATTTAGTGAGTTTTGCAAAAACTGTAACCTTTCCCTGCTGGTTATTCCTCTTCCTATCTCCTCCCCCCTCCCCTCAAATTAACATCCACACACAGATGTCTGTGTTTAAATTGTCCTCTTTATGGGTGGTGGAAGTTTAACGCTTTTGTTTCATTAAGCTTTGATTTGCTGATTTGAGTTTGGCATTTACGTAGTTCGTTTGCTTTTAAGACTGCCCCTCAAATAAATTGTAAAGTTTAACAATCTTTATGGAAGCAATTAGGCTTTTTCTTATTGTTATATATTTTCTATCTGGTTTCAGGATGACTCATATCTTGAGAGTTACATTAGTACCATTGGTGTGGACTTTGTAAGTGAATCTTTCCATTATGTATTATGTCATATCTACAGATGGTTGTGCAATATATTAGTAACAATTTTCTTCTCTTTTCTTCTAGAAAATCCGCACAGTTGAGCAGGATGGGAAAACCATTAAACTTCAAATTGTAAGTATCTAATTCTTCCTAGGCCATTCATGTGCTGAAGTTTTTTTTTTAATTTAACAAAAATAAATAATAAAAAAAAACCAATGAACCACACTCCCTAATTTCCCCTCTTGTATGTGCAGTGGGATACTGCTGGTCAAGAGCGTTTTAGGACAATTACCAGCAGCTACTATCGCGGTGCTCACGGCATAATTGTAAGTTTTGCATTTCCTCACTTATTGTTCTCCGATAATATTATCCCATTTGTTAGGAGGTCTTACTCTGATGGCATCTTTGTCAGGTTGTCTATGATGTAACCGATCAAGAGAGCTTCAATAATGTCAAGCAATGGTTGAGTGAAATTGACCGATATGCAAGTGATAATGTGAACAAACTTCTTGTCGGGAACAAGTGCGATCTCACAGCACAGAAGGTAGTTTCCACAGAGACAGCTCAGGTAATCAATCCCCTACACTCCATTTTTAGACTCCCTTTATGTAATTATGCCCCTGTCATTAGTTACCTGTATAGCTCGTTCGAGGATGCCTCATTGTTGAGCTGCATATCCCATTTGACGATCAACATTTTTGTAGGCTTTTGCTGATGAGATCGGCATTCCTTTCATGGAAACTAGTGCGAAAAATGCCACCAATGTGGAAGAGGCTTTCATGGCTATGGCTGCTTCAATCAAGAACAGGTTTGAAAATTCAGTTGAAGTTGCACTCATAACAGTTACTGTTATGCTCTTTTCTTGTATGGAAACTTATTATCCTATGCATTTGTAGAATGGCAAGCCAACCGGCATCAAACAATGCACGGCCTCCAACTGTGCAGATCCGCGGACAACCTGTCAACCAGAAGAGCGGTTGCTGCTCATCTTAAAAGCACAAGGACGAAGCTCTGTCGCCTCGATGAAGATTCTGATGTGGCATGTAAAATTAGTCTCTCTTAATGGCTTTATACTTGATAGGAAGACTGTTCACCGTTATCACTTTTTACTTTCTTTTGGCACTTTGTCAAAACACTCAATTCTTTGCAATGTATTTTTGGATAAACGATTTGTAGAAAATCTTGGAATATTGCTTTCTATTCTTTGGACCTTCATCGAAATGATTTAATCTGCAATGTGCAAGTTTAACTATTTGAGTCTTACTAGAAATCTATAATGCGATCCTTTTGGCCGTTGGTTTCTCATTTTTTGTGTGATATAACTTATATCATATAAATTTGCAAGGCTGTTTAATAGGTGCCACGAAAATGAACCTCATATATACGTCATGATAATGCTAAGTGGATAGATTAAGGGATACTCAAAACGCAAAAATCTACTTATCAAATAAAAGATTGGTTTTCTCGTAAAAATAGCATGGGCTAGTCAATTTTCGGACTGGTAATTGAAAAATAGCCAGTGTTTTCAAAGTCAATGAAAAATAACCACTATTTTGCTGCAGCACGGACTGATCCAGTATAATATACTGAAGATTGACACACCTATGTATAAACTTCCAGCATAATATACTGGAGATTTAAGCACATGTGTATGAACTTCCAGCATATTATGCTGGACCAATATATTATACTAGAACTCCAGCATATTATGCTGGAGTTTCAGTATACTCCAGTATATTATGCTGGAATATTTTCCGGATTTTTAACAGTATTTTCGTTCAGATTTATCTTTACATGAAAAGTGGCTAAATTTCGATTACTTTTGAAACTGTAACTATTTTTCAATTACCACTTATAAAGCTGCTATTTTTGAATTTCTCCGAGTTTTCTCTAATCATACCAGTTTACCCATAGTGAAAGGATGACTTTGAAATCATGGATATGAACAGTGAATGGACTTATAAAAGTTGAGAGTCTGTGGCGACAATAAAATCACAGATGAATAATTGCAAAGATTGATCATAACTCAAAAAACAAACTCCAAGTATGTTACAAAGATGCATAATCTATTACATATATACTAAGAATTTCTCCCATCATCAGCACAACATCTGAAAATAGTTGCTAGAAACTGCGGTTAACAATATCCTTAATCAAAATTAGCTCTGGCCCGCAACGAAACTAAAATGAAATTAGTTGGAGACAGATTCAGTGGGCAACCCTCTTATAGCAGGTATGCAACCAACCCTTCTTCTGATAAGTAGTATTCAAAAGAAGAAATTGAGGTTTGATACCATTTGTGTTCAAAATAGGATACCTCCTAGGTCATTTCTTTTCTCCCCTTCTGCTGTTTTAGCTTCAACTTCTTTCTAATAGCTGCTTGCTTGGCTTCAACGCCTTACCATGAAAACATGGTCAATAGACTAGCACTAACTTCATTGTCAACAACCCCCAGTGCAATCTCACAAGTGGGGTCTGGGAAGGATAGTGTGTAAGCAGTCTTACCCCTACCTTGCGAAGGTAGAGAGGTTGTTTAGTAACTTCATTCTCGCATTTAAAAAAACACACTTTTCCTTTTTATCGAATAAAGAATGAAACTTTTTGCTATTAAAAATTGTTCTCTCTCTAGTTTACCAGTAATCGCCACAAGAACAAACTCCATTTTTGAAATGGTGAAACCTAGTTGTATCTCTGACAATGATTTCCCTATTTTCTATTGCTGATATAACTTTAGTGGCTTGGTGGCAGTCTCCACAAACTCTGAGATTCTTGAATATCCTAATTGGCATTCCTGGTGGTAATTTTATTAAACCAAAGGCAATTGCTAGTTTCTCACTGTGCCAGAGAAGTAGCTGCTCTTTCTGTTCCTCTGCTACATCATGTAATGCAGAGTCCAGATCAGGAACATAACCCGCTACCTTCATTTTCTTCTCAAGATCTTTTAGTTTCATGTGTATGCTTTCCAAATCTGGATGAAGTCTATCCCCTGATCTGAACTCATGGATCACTCTTCCAACCTCCATCCAACTATATCCCGGTGTTTTTATAACTTTGTTCTCTTTCATTGACTTTCTAACTATAGAAACACCTTCCCAATGGTTCTTGGCTGCATAAACATTAGCAAGTTGAACATATCCTGCTGCATTGGTAGGTTCAAGGCGAAGCAAGTTTTTGGCAGCAAATTCTGCCACTTCTNGCCTGCTGCATTGGTAGGTTCGAGGCTAAGTAAGTTTTTGGCAGCAAATTCTGCCACTTCTAAGTTTCTGTGGATCCTACAAGCACCCAAAAGTGCTCCAAATAATGATATATGGGGTTTGAAATGCATTTTTGTTATCAAATCCACAGCTTCATTTAGCTTGCCAGCTCGTCCAAGGAGGTCAACCATACAAGTGTAATGGTCTGGTTTTGGCTTAATTCCATAATCATTCTGCATTTGCTCAAAACATTGAATACCAAGATTGACAAAACCTGCATGGTTACAGGCTGATAGAACTCCAACAAACGTTATCCAATCTGGTTTTATTCCTTTACTCCTCATCTCATCGAACAAGTGAAGGGCCTTCTTGCTTTCCCCGTGTTGAGCATACCCTGAAATCATTGCATTCCAAGTGACGACATCCTTTCTTGGCATCTCAAGAAATAATTTCCACGCATCCTCCAAAACTCCACACTTGCTATACATGCTACTCAATGAAGTCCCCACCGTCATATCCAAGTTCAGAGGGGACTTCACAACGTGCTGATGAACTTGCTTCCCCAATTTCAATGCAGATAAATTACTACAACCTAGTAAGAGACTACTCAATGTCGAGTCATTAGCCTTTACACCCGATCCCATCATTTTCTTGAACAACTTCATACCATCCTCTGCTCTCCCATTCTCAATGTAACCTGAAATCATGGTGTTCCATGTTACCATACTCTTCTCTGGCATCTCTCGAAACATCTTCTCTGCCATTTCAACATTTCCTGATCTCATATACCCCGTCACAATCGCTGTCCTAGCAATCACACCTTTCACAGGAGCTTCACTAAACAACTCCAATGCTGATTCCACTTCCCCAGACTCAACATACCCAGCTACCATAGCATTCCACGTAACCTCATTCCTCACCGGCATTGCCCGAAACAACTCTTCCGCTTCAGCCATCAGCCCATTCTGAGAGAAACCTGAAATCATGGTGTTCCAGGAAGCAACATCTTTAACCGGCATTTGATCAAAGAAATTCTTAGAAGCCTCGATATCAGAATTTCGCATATAGCAAGCTAACATAGTATTATACGACACAACATTCGGTTCAGGAATTTTTTCAAACAGTTGGCGAGCTTCTTCAACGTACCCGGGCTTCCTTGAAAAGCCAGCCAAGATTGAATTCCACGTGACCACTGTCTTAACCTTCACGCTATTGAAAACATTAAACGCGGAATCTAAATCCCCACGTCTAATATAACTGGTAATTTTCTTGTTTGATAATACCACATCGTTGGTTTCAGGTTGCTCAGAGTATCTAGTTTTGTGCGATAAGTGGCCATTTCTTGAAAATTTTGGTTGTGTAATTACGTTACTGGGGGGTACCAACTGGGATTGAGGTGAAGGTAATGTCTCTGGGTTTGAATTGTCATCTGGGATTTGAGAAAAGGAGCTAAAAGAGATACGAAAATGGCGTTTGCATAAGGAGGGAAAGGAGCAAATTTTGCTTCTAAAGTGAAGTTGATAGTACATTTGTCATGTTTGGTGCTGACCTGAGCTCTTTATGCAACTTAGGTCGCTTGCTAGACTTTGAAGTTGGAACTGTGCGGGAAATTCGGTTTTAGGCAAATAGTATCTTTTTATATCAGTCTATCAATTACATTTCAATTCCAAATTAGTTAGTATAGGAGTTATTTATATCCATTCTGCAATGTTCTTGTTAATTTCATCTGAATGCTATTCCTTATTCCAATTTACGTCCCAACATTTTTTAGCCGAATTAAAAAATAATGGTAGCTTTCTAAATTTGAAAATAGCTAACTTTCTCCTTCTACTCTTAAGAAAAAGCATTTATAGCCACATAAATATGATAAAAATTTACTCACACCAGATATTTACACCAAACTGTACCTATTTAACATGTTTAAGGGATTTTATTAGGTAAAAACAAGTACTTAATAAATAACCATGATTAAGTGAGATGAGTCTAGTCACAGGCACATATTGGCTCTGACCACACTACTACACAAGTAAGATCCTCTGCAAATATTGGATCTGTAAAAACAAATAAAGTTAACCCCAATTAGTTGATATTTGTTTTCATAAAGCTTTATTCTTAGCTAACTGCACACCGGATAATTTTAGGCATTAATTCGTTCTTTTGGAAACTGCATTAAAAGTTAGTGTCAATTATAACTTTTAAAAAAATATACTTGATTAAAGCAGCGAAAAAAGGAACCATTTTCCTTCACAAAGATCCTAAAATTTCATGAAAAATGGTACAGAAGAAATAATTACTTTTCAGTACTATAAAAAGGATGATAATATAAATAGTCATATTCGATTGTATTGGTCTATGGATAAATGTACAGTGAGGAACGTTTCTGGTTAACCAAATCAAGATAAATTACGATCTCATTCTATGGGTTTGGATTAACTAACCTTCAATGAATTTTCAAGTTTAAAACAAAAACATAATTTCCATTTTACTAGTCCAGGCTTTTCTATTCGAGCCATACGGCTATACCCAAAGAGAAACAATCTGTAAACAAGAAAAACTCATAACCAAGAAAGCAATGACTGCAAAGGAACAAAATTGTTTTTAATAAAATTCAAAAACAAAACTGATCCCACAACTAAATCAAAAATGGACCTAACGCCTAATTATGAAGGGAAAGGGTATTCATGCATGTCAAAGTCAAGAAAGACCAAGGGCGTAAAACACCAGAAGAGACATCTAAATTTACACTCTTAAAAAGAACAATAAAGTTTTCAGATGATTCTAATACATGAAAGCCCTTGAAAAAGAGTCTTGGGAGATGATTGCCATCATTGAGCATATAAGTATGGACGAAATAGAGAACGAGCTTAGACAGCTGGTTCTGGGGAGCCTTACTTGGCACCCAAGGATGGGAACTGGCCAACATCCTCAATCTTGGGGGCTTCAACACTGTAGTTGTTACCACCATTACCCTCATATCCACCTCTTCCACCTCTTCCACGGCCACCACGTCCCCTACCTCGATAGTAATTTCCCCCCTCAGCAGGTTTCAGAAACTCATTTATGCTTTTAGTCTGCAAATCAATGAAATCGAATCAATACAGCAACAAGAAAGTGTATACTACTATTTTCTTTCTGCAACTTGCTCACTACTGAAATGCTTGTAGATTAATGGACATACGGCAGATCTTATGCTGCAGACTTTCACTTACTCCTCTTATGACTCAACACTACTCTATTAAGATTCACAAACAGAAAGGGATAGCTATTCGCATGCATATATTAAAGGAATTTAAGTCATCAGAAAACAACTAGCCCCTCCAGCACAAAAGATTGCATAGTCAGCTTCTGGTACCAAGTCACTAATATATTTGTTACTAGCAGGCATAGAGTTAGGGTCGTTGTAAGGAAAACTGTTAGCTAGCACTAAATGTATCTGAAATTTAAATGCAATTGGTGAACTCTGACACTAAGTGCTTGGAACATTTCTTAAATATTGGACTGACATTAAAATGACCTTTGGAGGGGAAGGGGAAGGAAGGAGGCTGCACACGTCAATTTGGTAAGCCTCAAATATGAAATTTTTCCATGTAATTTATGAAATGCTTGTAACTTCTCTTAAAATATTGGACCCTGACCTTAAAATGACCTTTGGAAGGGAAGGGAAAGGAGGCTACAAGCATAGAGATTTGGCAAGCCCCAAGCATAAATACCTCAGCCAAAAATATTCCCTACAAGTGCTTTAGGAGAAAGATTGGTATGATGAAGCGAAGGTGGATACAACAATGTTCCAATCCCGGAATTAGGACCATACAGAAATGGTACGGACTCTTGGCAACCAAACAAGATACAAGAAATAATGTGGCCAGATACTGTGGTACCATATCAATCCATTAAAATTCGCAGCAAATTAAAAATACCAGATTACCTTCTTGGCCTTTTCAACTGCCTCTTTCCGCTTATCTTTCTCAGCGCCCTGAAACAACAACAATTTGCAAGCTAGATTAATATACTAACAGACAGCACTATTAAGATCCTGATAACCGACAACAAAGCAACAAGAAAATAGCAACAGCTATTTGCTCACCAATTTGATGAAAACATCATCTTCATTCTTCTTGTTTGATAGAAGTTGCATGGATTCAAATTCCTTATCCAAATTAACCTTTCTTTCTTCAGGCTTCTGAGCCAGCAAAGCCTTCCTCTTCTCCTCCAGTAATTTCTCATACTCCTCAAGGGTCATCTCCTGCAAAGCAAGTCTACATCAATGTTGAACAGTATACTATTTCAATCCTATTTTACAGATCTGCAGGTACTGTCCATTACAGTACCATGTCATTCTTCAAAAAAAAACACCAAATAACAAATAAAGGCAAATGATCAATCAGGCCTCCACCAGTTAAAATCTTAGTCAAAGGGACGGACCCAGTTGAAACAAAGAACAATCTCAGTAAATTTTCTATTCTCTAAAGTTGGCTCACTGCTATGTCACGGAAACTTTTTCTTGGCAGGTGGGAGCTGTAGAAAATTTAAAGGACAAACCATCTTGAAGTTCTCCAGCTCTCTTTCATGTAGTAACAAAGGACCGAGGAGAAATTTCAAGAACAGTTGATGCTATGTGACAAGTACCTCAAAATTTCAGTTAGAGGTTGCTTTGCTACAGTCCAGATCTCAAAAATATTAAAGGGTGCTGAAAAAGGTATGACATTTCTTTACAACAGACCACTAAAGGGTGCTGATTTAAAAACTACTTACAGAAGTAAAAGCTCCCTATCTACATAGGAAAGCAATCTATCAAATATAGGATTCACAGCAAAAAGACAAGATATAAACAGTTAATTTAACATTTGAAATAGTAAATTGCTTTAATCAACGTACAAGACGAAAGAACTCCACAGCTTCAGATACTTTTCTGAATTCTCATTCCATAATAAAATCCCTAGGGGCTTCCACGTGGGTAGACTAGTAAATAAACCTTTAGAAATGATTATGCAAACACTCCTTTCCCAAACTGATTTAAGTGACACCACAGTCAAGGGACTGAAGGCTGAAACCAACACCACCCCTCTACCCCCAATAAGAAGATTGCGTAGTATGATGAAATATAAATTTGCACAACAAGACATTGGGTAATATAAAAAAGGCAAAAAAACAAAAAATTAACAGTTACTTTCTCCTCAGGCTCCTTCTCTTCTGGCTCAGCAACAGATGAATCCTTTTTGGCATCTCCAGCATCTTCCTCCCCAGCTGGTTTCTCAGAATCAACAATCTTCTCTCCTTCAGCAGCAGGCTCCTCTGTCTCCCTGACCATTGAAGAGGCAACCATTAGATAAGAAACAATTATTGTCGTCTAAGGAGGGGAAGGGAAAGCATGATTAGGAGACCAAATGAGATGAAGATTCTCACGGTGCAATCTCATCTGTGGGAGTTCCCCAGTTCCCACGACCAGCACCCTCCCGTTTAAAGTCATTCCTATACAGAACAATAAAGATACATATCATGCATTTGAGAAACCAACAGTTGCCAATATAACAACATTAAGTTCATTTGAACCATCTCAAACCAAAAAAATGGAAAATGGATTTCGTCATTCAAGAGAATTCCCAGCAAAACAACTTACCCACGTCCAGTTCCACTTCGTCGATCATATACTCTGCGTGGGCGATCACCTTCTCCACCTTCCTCATTGTTGAAACCGCCCCGGCGTCCCCCACGGAATCCTCCACGAGGTCCACCGTATCCACCACCTCTCCTTTCAAAGGTCCTTCCTGACTCTCCATCCTCTGGTGCTTTGTACACTCCAGAGAAACCATTATTGTTACCCAAAGTATTCTCACCATCAGCAACATCCTGATTAAACCCACGTCCCCGTCCGCCGCGACCACGGCCTCCTCCACGCGGACCCCCACGGCCTCCTCGTTGGCCTTCATACCTGGACTCCCTCACTGCTCAAAAAACATTGCAGATATAAGCAATGGGAACATTATACTCCCTCCTTTCTGTTTTATAAGATAGATTTCAGTTGAAACAGAATTTAAGATGTTACTTAATATTATGCTAATGGTAGATGAAAAATATTAACATAATGGTTAACAAGTTAGTAGAATGAGAAAGCATCAGATCAAAGTTCAAATTGTTTAACAATTTTGAATTCTTAGTAATTTCAAACATTAGTGAAAGACCCAAAATCAAAATAATGCCAAATAAATTGAAAAAGGATTTAATACGTCATCAGAAAGAACAGTATACTTTCATTTACTTATTCCCTACCATAACATAGAACATAAAATAAAATGCTGAAATAATTTGAAAGAAGAACTATGCCTAATAACAACCATTTGTACAACCTAGAATTGCCTCCATGTAAGAGAGACACAATCACATACTATGTAGGAGCACAGTCCTACTCTTGCTAAGGGCAAAGAAACAACAAATACTTGAAAGTACCACATAATTTTTTCCTGGCAGCTAGTCAACAATAATAACAGATAAGATAGAAGAATTTGGTCCAAAAAAAAGTGGTATCTCACTAACTACTTTATCCAATCAAATAAAGGCTGCTGCTTTACAATATAAGATTGCAATATTTGTATTAATTCACTAACCCCATGTAATGTGAACCAATAAATAGCATGAAACTATTCAAAATCCATTAAAATATATACACAAAACTGAAAAGGGTGTACCAAAAATTA